GGGGGGTTAGCCTGGTGATGGGCATTAAAGAGGGCACGTTCTGCGTGGAGCACTGGGTGTTACGCACAAACAATGAATCATGGAACACTACATCAAAAACTAATGATGTAATGTATGGTGATTAACATAACAGTATAAAATTAAAATTTAAAAAAAAAGAGTCTGGGCTTTGCCACCTGCCAGCCGTGTAACGTGGGCAAATGATTTCACCTTTCTGTGCCTCAGTTCCCTCGTTTGTAAAATGGGGATGATTGCAGTACCTTTTAATTGCCGTGAGGCCTAACAGAGTTGGTACATGTGTAGTACTTGGAACAGTGTCTACCACATAACCACTCAAGAAATGTCAGCTGGTATTAATAACATTTAAGATTTTATGTAGATATTAACAAGTTCCCATAAATATGGGAAAAATTTATACTCCCATCAGTATGGGAACGACTGTCTCTTCACACTCTCAATAGTGTCTTATTAAACAACTTTTTAATCTTTGCTAACATGACATACATGGCATCTCATAATAGTTTAATTTGTATTTGTCTCATTAAGAGTGAAGTTAAGCATATTTTCACATGTTTAAGTGCATTTGTCTTTCCTGTGTCCTGAATGTTCAGCATGTTCCCCAGACTCCTGTTTGTCACTGGCCTTGTTCTTACTGATTTGTAGTTCTTTGTGTGTTTCGGGATTTAGTCCTTGCTGTGCTGTAAGTTACTCTTTCACAGTATTCAACACTTTTCTATCGTTGTACTTATTTCTATTTTTAACACTGTCTTTATTTATGGTTATGTTTTAAGGCTCCATAGACCAAGGTCCATCTTTATTTGTTCATCATTGCATATTGAACACAAAGCAAAATCCTGAACACATAATAAATGATCAATACATATTTGATGAATGGGCCAAATACGACAAAGAAAATCTCATTACCTAAATAGACTGGAAAACTGGAAGGAAAGTAGTTTGTACAAAAACATGATGAGTTTAGTTTTGGATATGTTGAGTTTTAGGTGACAGCTAAATATGTATAATACTCTTACTTTGGCAAGATACTCATGAAGATTTTGGAGTCATCCCCATGAAGTGGTTGATTGGAAACAGATGATCTCTGATGGAAAGAATGTTATGTGAGAGTCTATAGACAAACACTTCCAATCAGAAACAATTTCAAGTGATTATAGTTGTCATAATAGTTTTAAGACAGATATGAAATGAAAAGGAAAAATAGAAACTATATATTTACAAGAATAAAGCAAATGAGGAATGGAGAAAAAATTTAATGCCTTGGAATAACAATGATTATTGAAAAGTATTTAGATTTTGTTATAATTTTGCCCAAATCACTTATTATGAAGAAATGAAATCATCTCCTAATGGAAAGCTGAGTCTATCGTAAGCATACAAGCTTATGGAAAACAAAAGTGCTCTTTTTGTATAAAGTAAGCTACTTGGTTTATCAGTATTGTGTTTTTCAGTTTATAATTGGACAGTGATTGTGTTTTCTAGTACTGAACTATCACTGAGAGATTATTACTATCAATTTAGCCTCCAGTTCTGTTTTTCAGATAATAGTGGCTGCATGAAAAAGAAGAAACCATTCAGTCTTCTAAAAAGAAATGCTTATTTTTTCAGAACAGAGAATTTATCCTAAAATAAGCTGTACATATTATTTAACCCAAAAGAATCATCTTTATGGCTAGAGTCCTTCATTAACCATATTGACTAAAATGGATATGGATTAGTACCTTTAATAAGTCTGTTGTGAAGTTATAGTCCTTGTTTAATGGATTGTAAGAAAATAATCAGGGGACTCCTGGGCGGCTCAGTTGGTTAAGCGTCTGCCTTCAGCTCAGGTCATGATCCCAGGGCCCTGGGATCGAGCCCCACATCAGGCTCCCTTCTTCTCCCTCTGCCTGCTGCTCCCCCTGCTCGCTCACTGTCTCTCTCTCTCTCTCTCTCTCTGACAAATAAATAAAATCTTTAAAAAGAAAAAGAAAGGGCAGGAATTCTATTCTGATGGCATAGAGAATGTGTGGTACTCCAATATCAATGTCAATTTTTAAATGACACGGTGGATTAAAAGATACTGAAGTGTATATTTTTTTCTCCTTTTCATGAAAAGAAAATCTGTGACTTAAAATCTAAAAGTATAGCTATAGTGGTTGGACAAACAAATCATTTGAACAAAAACCTTAGTCCCATTAGAATGACTTTCTGCCTAACTTTTAGCTGTCCTTTGCCTTATTGACCGGACATTCTGGGATTTCTGAGCATTTTTATCATGAAAGCAAGATTCTTCTGTACAGTCATGACATTCTCCCCTGCAGGCAAGGTGGTTGTCAGTGATAAATAAAATGATCTGTAACAAAAACGCAGAAAGTGTGAAAAAAGAAAATAAGTCCCCTCGAACTGGTGCAGCAGCAGGCAACCATGGCCCATCCTGCTGAGCACGTGCTGCCGAAAGAGATGGACATGGTGGTCACTTCAGGGGCTTGTAAGAAGCCAGTCATTTGCTTATGCTGACTTCCCAGAAATGCTCATTTTTCTACCTAAAATAGGAACATTTATTCACTAAGAGAGCAAAGAAATTCCTAGACGGCCTGTGTTCATCGGCAAAGGAAACAGTTACAGAATGTTTAGCAAAGGTCTTATGTTATACAACTTGTGTTAATGGACTGGAAATAAATCTAAAATAAAGCCTTTCTTAATTATAAAAACAACATTTTCAGAACTGTTCTCAAAGAATATTCTTCAAGAAGTGAATGGTGACAAAGTAAGGTTTTATTTCATTCAAATAGTTACTATTTGTGCATTTTTGCTCTGCCTCATGCTGAGACTTAGGGGAATGGAAGTCAGTGGTCTATTGTGGTAGCTCAGTTACCTTCCAAAGAAGTAGACTACCTGAGCCATGGAGTCTGTTCTTTTGTGCATTAATGTATATTATACCCATCAATGGAGCCATGATAAGCCAGGATCAAAGGACTGATCCAAAAGGTCAATTAAAATCCTCAGCAGCATGCAGGGATATAGCAGAAGGATAGAAACCATTGTATTCTAGAGGGGTACCATCCATAGCTGCAATATAAAAGAATGTGGCTACTCAACATGGGCCTGTTCTCTTGATATGAGGACACAAATGTACTCATTTACAGAAATATGGCCAAATAATTTCTTGCTTACTTCAATCTGCATTTCTTTATAGTTCACTAACTACTCTCAAACCCATTACAGAAATGAAAGCTAAGGGGCGCCTGGGTGGCTCAGATGGTTAAGCGTCTGCCTTCGGCTCAGGTCATGATCCCAGGGTCCTGGGATCGAGTCCCGCATCAGGCTCCCTGCTCCTTGGGAGCCTGCTTCTCCCTCTGCCTCTCTCTCTCTGTCTCTGTCTCTCATGAATGAATGAATAAAATCTTTAAAAAAAAAATGAAAGCTAAGTTTAGCAAATTGTTTGGCCATTTATGTTTAGTGCACAAAATTCTTAAATTAACAAAATAAAATACCACAATCCATTGTAAATCACTTTGCTAAACTTTCAGACTTCACAAGGAATTTGGTCTTGTCCAGAAGCTACTTTCAAGCCCCTGCTGATCTGGCATTGAAGCACCTGTTCCCTGCAGAGCTGAGTGAAGGAATGTAAGGGAGCCAATTAAGGAAACTTTGAGCCAGAATAGACAAGCAGGGGCCATCTTGTCCATCCTTCTGCCTTCAGGAAAAACCATCCCCTGCACCAAAAATTTTTGCTTGAATCCTGCTGACAAAAATGCTCACCCCATGTAAATGACAACTCATAATCCAGTTAATGCAACTAAAGCAGATTGTTAACTGTTTGGGACTTATTTATTGTGTTCTAAAGATGCTGAGTCTGAAAGCTCATCTGAATTGTTCTAATTCCTCCTTTCGAGAAAATTATTTTGTACAAGAAATGTACTCAAATAATTGTAAAGATGTGGGAAGTTTGCATCCAGGAAATAAAGTTATCTTTATCATCTTATTAAATGTATTTTTGGTTTCTCTTCACTCTAGATCTACCTTATGGGTGGGAGGAAGCTTACACAGCAGATGGAATCAAGTACTTCATCAAGTAAGTACAAGCATCTCAACCAAGTAAGCAATTTCCTTCACATCTGGAGAGAACCTGGAAGTTGCAGAATAATCAGCAAAACTAAGAAACCCTCTTGGAGGTTACAAAAATTAGTAACAAGAAATGAAGCCTCACCATTTTCATTTCATGTGATTTAAATGCTAATATCAGATATCGTTTAGGGGGTGAAAAACTAGTAATTATTTCAAGGGAAACAGCAAAAAGTTGGAACAAGATCATAATTTGAACTTAAATGTTGGCTGCCTGAATTCACTTCTGACTAAAAGTATTAATACTTATGAGAAGTTAATATCTAATGAAAAAATCGATTTGTATGTCTTAACACTTCTTCATACTTAATACAATAATACTAATAATAATCAGCATTTTTAGTGCTTTACAGTATACATAGTTCATTCATTCTGCAAATATATTTTGAGCATTTGCTGTGTGCCAGGCAATGTACCATGCCTTGGGGATTCAGTAGTAAAATATACAGACTAGTTCTCTGATGTCATGGAATTTATATAATAGTAGGAAAAATAATAAATAACTAACAACATAAACGAGGCATAATATGAACAAACCCTGTCTAAGTGGATTCTCAGAACACATTTTGAGGTATATATGCCTTATTTTCACTGTTTTATGGATGAAGAACATAAGAGCTTGCAGCAGTTGCCCAAAAATCCACAGCTACTAAATTACCAAATCAGAAGAGAATCAAAGTCTTTTGACTCCAGGATTCTACTATACTGGACTGCCAATGATAGAGACATGTCTTTGAAAGCTTCAATAGCAATACATATTCTGTCTACTGAACTGGTTAGTTTTATCCTGGACAAAGCAGACTGATCTACTTCTACTCTATTCTGGGCAGCTCCTTTCATGTCAGAATTGACATTATGAGAACACAAATAGGAATCCCAAAGACTCTTGAGACCTAAAAGACTCCCTTTATTGTCCTTTCTAGCAATGTATTCTTGTTATACATTTGGAGAGGAAAGGGGAAATATGTCCTTGATGTCCTTTCAGTTGTATAAATATTTTCCAAAGCAATATCCAAATTCTGGATTCCCAAGCTCTGTCACTTCACACGGGTTCCTATACCCTCTTCACCTCAGTTTTCTCATCATAAAGTAAGGGAAGTATTGCCTACTTCATAGAGTTGTTAAATGTTAAGTTCCTAGCATAGAACTTTGAACATAGTAGATGCCCAGTAGTCATCATTAATTTACAGTATGGAGAAGCCCATAATGGTGGGGGGGGAACATGAAAAATCATGTGACCATTGAAAACAGTGAAGATTCAAAAGCTTCTTATTTAAAAAGATTTGAGGGAAAAAAAACTAGCGATAAACCTGGCAATGTGTTTTTGTGATGTATTTTCTTCTTGTGGTCTCTAGCAAAAAGTAATAAAGCAAAGGCGTAGTTTATAGTGTATGGAGAAAGGAACTTTTGGAATAGAGAACCCAGGAATCCCATGCAGGGATTACATTTAGCACCATACTGTTCACTTTCAGAATCATGTCTCTTCTGGAAGGAGAGTTGGGCCCTGATATGCTGGGTTTACTATGCTGAGTTTCTGGAAGATTTGAATCAGGGTACTGTAGACTTGGCAGGAAAAAGAAAAACCACATTCACGTTTTCATTGGGTTTTTTTCTCATATTAACTTTGTAATGATTAAGGGAAAAGATGTAGGGGGAGGAAAATGAGCATTTAATTTTTTTTAAAGATTTATTGTTTTGAGAGAGAGAGAGAGAGAGCACACGTGAGCAGGGGGAGGGGCGAAGGGAAAGAATCTCAAGCAAACTCCATGCTGAGTGCAGAGCCTGATGTAGGGCTCAATCTCACAACCCCAAGTTCATGACCTAAGCCAAAATCAAGAGTCAGACCCTTAACTGACTGAGCCACTCAGGTGCCCTGAGAATGAGCATTTATTGGGCACAACCTGATGCTGGGTAACCAGGCATATGTTAGGTGTACTTTTCTATGCATTGTATCACTTAATTCTCCTAATAGTGTGGAAAATGGACACCACTTGGCTCTTATTAGAGTGGTATTATGATGGTGGTGAGCTGCATCCTGCCTTCAGCCATGCCTGTCTCCTAGAAAGCCCCCAAAAGAAAAGCCTGATCAAAGGAAGGCAAAGTAGCGTTCAATTATTTACTGGGGTTCTAGTTCAAAGGCCTTTGAAAAACATCAGTAAATGAGTCTAGACCCTGTGGGGACTCCTTAGCCTCAGTCGGCTGTCAGTATCTCCTAATCCAAAGCTGAGTGTCATCACCTAACTAGTGCCATGTGAGGAAAGGACACCAAAGGCACAATCACAGATCACCAAAGACAAGGAGGGAGCAAGAGATGGCCAGCCAAAGGGTGAGTGTTTCCCATTGCCCGGTACCCAGCTGGCTTAAACAGCTCTGTCTAGCAGACCAGAACAACAATCTTGGGCTGGGCTCCTCCTACAAGGAAGAATAGCATCCAAGGAGAGGGAAGAAGAGAAAAAGAGTAAACAAATCATTTACCCTGAGGTCTAACTCATAGTCCTGTGGAAGGAACAGAAAGAGACACTACGTTTATGTAGTCTACTCCAGCATAAAAAATATATCCCTTAAACCTAAACCTAAATATATTCCTTAAACCTGTCTTTTGAAGCCCATCAATTCTCTTCCTTGACCTTAACCTTGACTTATAAAGAAAGCAGAAAAGAGATGATAAGATAGATTTGTTCCCCAAAGGACAATGGTGGATATCATTGTATCACCATTACAGTTGGAGAAACTATGTGGAAAAGAGGCTAACTTGGTCAAAGCCATGCAGTAGTAAAATTGCAGAGCCAAAGTAAGTAAAGCCAGCCCCCAAACACACACACACACACACACACACACACACACACACACACCCATGCTTTACCACCTACACCTCCTTATTTTAATGTAGTATGTTTCCATGTGACAAGAAAAATATTGTAAACAAATCTTGATTTAGGGAGAGCTCCTTACTTTATCCATTTTTAAGTAGCAGAATAGAAACTTAGTTCTAAGAATACTTAGTTATCTCCTGGAGATTAGAAAGGCCAAATAGTAAAGATAAGAAAAGCTAATACTGTACCAGTGCTTCCTTTACTCAGCCTTGTGGAGGAACGGGCTGCTTGCCTGAGTTAGGTTTTTTCTGCTAGAAGTTAACCCCATTCAAGCGCCAGCATTTATTTTAGCTTGACTCTTCTTTTTTTTTTAAGATTTTATTTATTTATTTGAGAGAGAGAGAATGAGAGATAGAGAGCACGAGAGGGAAGAGGGTCAGAGGGAGAAGCCGACTCCCCGCCGAGCAGGGAGCCCGATGCGGGACTCGATCCCAGGACTCCAGGATCATGACCTGAGCCGAAGGCAGTCGCTTAACCGACTGAGCCACCCAGGCGCCCTTAGCTTGACCATTCTTGATCAAAGTTTTACTTAATAAGTGTTGCATACTTCCCTGCCTTCTTACAATGAGGCTACTGAACAAAATCTTCATGAATGTCAGTCTTATGCATAATACAGTGAGTTCTGCAGGGGGAGGGTAAGCGCCATAAACTAGAAGGGGAGCCAGCTGTCATCTGTTGCGGCTCCCGGTGTGCCTGGCCATCTCCTTACCCCGATTCTCCTTTTTTGTCTTTTACACACCTTACCCTCTTCCCCAGGAGTTTCTCAACTGAGGACAGGACGCCAGATCATCAAATTAATTTGAATTGCTTGTAAATAGCTCTTGGGTGTGGGCCTGCAGGGGCTTGTGTGAGTCAAGTTCAGGAGTTCTGGTGCAGGTGGAGCTGATATTCCCCATCTGATAGAGGGGAAAGAAGAGCCTGAGCTTTGGATTTGGAAAAACTTGGGTCCAAATGCGGGTGTCTCCACAGGATAGCTGAACGACCTCGGGCATGTTTACTTAAGCTCTCTGAGCTTTAATTCTCCATATTTACAGAATGGAAAGAAGATTAGCAGTCCGTAGGGTTCTTGTCCAGAATGAATGAGCTTGTGTATGTGAAAAACCTATCATAGCTCCTGACCCAAAGTACACACTTCCAGCCAAGTTTAGCCGTCCTCACTCCCTCCCCTCACTCTTAACATTCTGGTGAGGGTTAGTTGCTGGCTCTTAGCTGCTAGGTTCAGATAGGTGATGTTGCCACATTTGTAATGGCTGCATACACAAGCATCCATTGTGTGTCCTTCTTGGAACTATGTAGCTTTTTTGTCTTATTTTTTCATCTTCATCCTCCCATTTACCCCAGCTGAAATTTTGAGCCTGGATAACCTTAGCTTTTGAGGTAGGAGTAGTTCATTTACCAGGTAAATGTACTTTGGAGGCAGGAAATAGCAAGTAATGAACTCATGTCATTGCCTTTCTTACCTTTACTTAAAAAGAACAGGTTGAAATTGCCCTTCCAGAACACCGGAGGAGATAATAGTCTGTATACATATAATCTCTTCCCTGAAATTGACACCTGTCACTGTCTTCCCGGAAATTGAATGGTTCCATCTGATGGAAGCCAAGCCTCAGGCAAAGGAATAACTGTCAGTGCTGTCCCAAGAATGCCCAGATGAATATAGTCCTCATTGACTATTCCTGCACATGTCCATTGCACACCTAATAATACTTCGTAGTCATCTACTTAAGTTCTGATGCAAGAGAAGAAAGCATTTTACCTGGTATAAACAAATGTAATCAAAATGTTGGCATTGCTGGAGCCAGCATTTCACAGAACTAACAAACGTGTGTCTGTATATATATGTGTGTATGTGTATCAATATGTGTATGTAATATGCATATAGGCAGGGCTTGCCTCACTCGCTATATATATATATATATATATATATATATATATATGCACATACCAATGCATTCAAAGGAAAACTTTCATATTTTTTCCCTTAGAGAGTTGCAGCATTCTTAAATTTAACAAGGGGCACCTGGGTGGCTCAGTCATTAAGCGTCTGCCTTCGGCTCAGGTCATGATCTCAGGGTCC